GGGTTGCTTTAATATGGACATCCATTTAAAAGTGGTCTAATATCAAAGCTTATGGCATGTCCCATCACTAATCATGTTGTCAGCTGCCATGTCCCATCACTAAAATAAATTAATAAATTCGGTGATAGGCAACATATTCAAGATGGAAAGATTCTCGCATTCCTAGCAGGACCTGGCTTTCAGAATGACAAAAACCAGATCCCCTGTTCCAGAACCCAGATGTCAACAGCTTTGTGTGTCTGGGACAACACCTGCCTTCCCCCCCCCCAATGCCCATTCCAGCTTTGCCAAATTGCCATCAATTTAAATTGGACAGTATGCTTCCTTCTGTGTTTCTACTACGAGAAGATGTCCAGAAATCATTGACAAGGGACTTGAAACGGCACCAAAATCACCGCAGGGAGCAAGTGAATCCCCAAAATGTGGCTGCCCTAGTCCTGGCGCAGCTGAGAGGGGTGTGTGTGTGTGTGTGTGTGTGTGAACCAGCTGCAAGATGGCATGGCAGGCTCAGCCTGTGCCAAGATCACATCACTCTTTGAGTGTGGAGATGAAATGTAAACATGCTCGCAACTTTGCAAAGAATTTTTTAAAAAAACCTGAAGGAGAAACAGCCAAACTTCAAATACCGGCGGGAAAAGTGTGGTTTTCTCATCAAAAGTGAGTGGAAACACTACATACTTTGAAACAGATGCCCGCCTTCAGCTTAAGGTGCCAAATATGGGTAATCAGTATCTTTTTTAAGGAAAAGTTGAAAATGACTAATACCAATACTTCTACCCCTATTAGTAACAGTAGTAGCATGGCATTGACATTTGAGTTTTACCACCATGGTAGGAGATGGGGAACAAATGGATCTCTTGATGTGGCTGTATTCCAACTCCCATCATCCTTCTCCACTGGTCCTGGTGGGGATTCTTGAGATGGGAGGATTCCAGTTTTTTGATATCTTTTTTTGCAGGGTGCCCCATGCCAGCAGAGTCAATGTCTGTGCCACCTTGGGTATCAGGAGAGCTGTGATCCAAACAGGTTCCTCCCATCTCTGCTGGGGCTGCAGCCCCAAAGCATTTGGAAGCTGTCTGCCGATGCCCCGGGGGAATAGATTCCAGGAAGCCAGAAGAGAAATGGCCTACTCGGATACAACAGATACGTCTCTGCCTGCAATCTGGCCAATTCATCCGAAGCCTGTTTTAAAAGCCAGATAACTGGAAATGTTCGGGGACAACCGTCAGAGCCAGCGTTGCCCCTTGAGATCCTTCTTTCAACTGGAGAACATTTCTGATAAAGCAACCACAGTAGGGAATGCACAAGACTGGATCCCAACCTTCCCAGTGGCTGGGTTCCTGGATCTGCTGCGGCATCCTAAAAGTAATTCTGCCGGTGGAAATAAAAATGGCTTTTCTGCTTTAAAAGATAAGTCTTCCATGTCTCTCAAGCTGGAGGAGCAATGAGATCCTTCTTTCAACTGGAGAACATTTCTGATAAAGCAACCACAGTAGGGAATGCACAAGACTGGATCCCAACCTTCCCAGTGGCTGGGTTCCTGGATCTGCTGCGGCATCCTAAAAGTAATTCTGCCGGTGGAAATAAAAATGGCTTTTCTGCTTTAAAAGATAAGTCTTCCATGTCTCTCGAGCTGGAGGAACAAGCCGGGGGTGGCAGGAGACTGTGGAAGCAAGCAGGTGGTCGGCCAAAACCCAACATAAATCACCACCAGTTCTAACGCCAAAGCCTGGGTAGCAAAACGCATCTGTTGTTCTCCAAACCAAGACGAAAAGGGGCCTCTGCAGGCGAGACAAGGAGACACACGTCTCTCTTCTGTTCCCCCACCCCATCCCGTCCCCCAACTTTCCCATTTGTTTGCTTGGCTTGCTGCTGACAAAGAGGCAAAAGATCAAATTCTTTGCAGAAGGCCGACCAGCTGTTTTCGCCAGCCTCTCTCTCTCTCAGAGCTTGTCCCAAAAGAAAGATGGGGCCCAGCCTTGTCTTTTTGCTCAAGACGTTTGCATTTTGTCAGATACAAATCAAAACAGAAAGAACGCCACATGAAACAAAACAAAAACATTGTTGCACCCAGAAGGCTGTTATATTTCAGCTTGAGCTTTCACGGATATCTCCGCTGCTCCAGAGATCGTGGGGTGAAGCCGCCACAGGTTAGACACAGGGCCAGGGGAAAGGAAATGGATTAACGAAGATGACGATACACTTCCTGGTTCCAGTGAATAATCCCGCACGTCTTATGAGCTGCAAAATAGCAGGCGCCTCAGTCACGAGCCAGCTCTTAAGAGAGTCTTTTACCCAGTACGGTCAAGCCCTCCCCAGAGTCAACATCCGGTTCTGGTGAAGGAGCTAGTCCAGGGGTGGCAAACTTTTGGTACTCCAAATGTTTTGGAACTACCACTCCCAGAATCCCCAGAATCCCCTGTAGAGTCAATAATAAAGGACAGTGAGAATTGTAGTCCAAAACTTCTGGAGCGCCAAAGGATCACCTCCCCTGATTGTCCATACACCAGATTGAAGGGAGATATATTTGTTAGTATCTATGATGAGCTAAGAATCTCTGCTCACTATCTAATCCTTTGGACACAACTCTGGAACTTTTTTACTCGGTGGATGTAACCGAAGTTGATTCCTGGATCAAGAGGCAAAAAAGAAAAATATATAAAGAAAAGTCACCCTTTGGAATATGTCTCTGACAAAGATGGGGAACCTAAATCCTTAGGGTCACATCCTGCCCTCTGGTGCTTTCCCAGCGACCACACGCCTTTTTGCATGATACAATCATTTCGTTACCAGGCCTGTACAAGGTTTTCTCTAAAAAAGCCGGGAACCTAAATCCTTAGGGTCACATCCTGTCCTCTGGTGCTTTCCCAGCGGCCACACGCCTTTTTGCATGATAATATCATTTCGTTACCCAGGCCTGTACAAGGTTTTATCTATAAAAAGACGTTTTTAGGATAAGAGATTTAAACTAAAATACATTGGTATGTCTTCTCCTGCCCTTTTGCCTTCAATTGAATTTAAAATTTCTGAAAGCAAATTCAGCTTCCCTGACATTACTTTACAGCAACCAGAAACTGACCTAATTCAGAGGTAGCAGTGTACTGGTAAAACTGGAAGCTTTGATGCTCATTACAACAGTATCCACAGCCTGCCCTCACTATAAAGTCACTCCAAAAAGGCAGGCAGCAGACCAATCTACATCAACAATTGAGAGGCTGGTCTTTTGTAAAGTCAATGGCTCTTAATTGTCCACTAGAGATCAACAAGTACAGCTTGCAACAGTATTTCTCTGCTGGCTAAAGTGTGGATTGTAACTAAGCTCGGAAGGAAGAGGGGAGCCTCTGGGGATGGTAGATGATGTCGTCATCTCTTTGAGTCACCAAATCCTGTGCTCAGAGGTGAAAGTAGGGATAGCAGCATGTCCCAAAAACAACAGCAGAAGGATCTCAGATGCGGGTCATAAATTCATGCTCAGTCTTTGAGTATTCCTGGATCTACTGCTGCATCTTGAAACTGGTCCTTTTACAGCCAAAGGCCAGATTAACTTCCATCTTCACACTAACTTTATGGTCATCCTCAGTGTACAGAGTTGTGGCTTGGCCCCCCCTCCCAATGCCCCAGAATTCTTAGCCAGATGGGCTCTTTGGGGAATTCTGGGACCGGGGAATCTAAAGACAAAAACCTGTGCTTTCATCCTTGTCATGGTAAACATCTGTCTTGCTGTGCTGATCTTAAGGATACAGAACCTCAACCGGAGAAAGTAGGAACCCCATCACTAACACCCGTTAAACTAAACAAAAACAAAAAACAACCCAACTCTTCATATGTCCTAACAACAAAGCCTGTTTATTTCTTATTTAATCCCATTGCAGGGATCAGCTGTCAATGCCATGATTTTTGTGCTGATCCTCCACCCTGCTTGTGCAGACACTGTGTATTCATCAAAGCTCATGCTATAGTATAATGCCATGGAAACTTTTAGCATTGTGCTTCAGCGGCTGAATTCAGCTCCCCCCCCCCCCCGTGGGAAGTGGGAATTACCATTTGTATGATCATGGTAACCACCATTCACCTGTATTTATGCTTTAAAGTAGATGCCAACACCTAGGTTTCCTGCAATCCGTCTCCTTCTAATGGTTGATCATCCTCCACCATCGGTACCGTGTACAGAAGATGACTCCAGATGGGTTATTGCCAAAGGAAGTCTGTTGATTTTTAAGGCCCCACAAGCAAAACATGTGGGGAGCTGGTGGGCAATGGTTTACTAGGGTGCTAGGCTTGACCTGCAAGGGTCAGGTTCGAATTCTCCACCGTATCATAAAAATGTACTGTGGGACCAATCCTTCTTTTTTCCGCCTGACCTCATCAGGTGGGTTGGTGTCAAATGATCAAAGGGAGCTTCTTTTTCTCTCTCCATCTCAGGGGGAGGAAAAACAAGGCATACATTCCAAGAATTACTAAACTACGGAAGCTTACTCTTTTTATTGCATACCCCTTCAACGCCCAAGTGTGCTTTAGAATCTGGAACTCGGGTCCCTTTCAAGATCAAAATGTGGGAACCCTATCTTGCATCTTCTGCTCATTCGAAGGGAACCCTTTCCCCCC